CCCTCTCTCTCTCTCTCTCTCTCTCTCTCTCTCTCTCTCTCTCTCTCTCTCTCTCTCTCTCTCTCTCTCTCTCTCAGAGCAATATTCTGCATATTACGAATTTGTTATACAAACGTACCCATTATTTCCGAATAAACATGACATAGCATAATTCACCTTGGTGCTTATTCTTCAAAATATAATACTTTCAGCTGCTTTTGATTCATTGAAAATATTTGCGGTCTTATTAGCGCATCAAAGCTTAACTGAATTCTGATTTTCATTCTTGTTTTTTATTAAACAAACAAAAACTGAACCTTTATTTTGATATTAAGCATATATTCTGTGAATAATAAGATTTAAATCTAGTTTTTTGAAACACATCACTGATTCACACGTAAAGCTGTGATAAAAATTCTAACTTTTTTAAACAAACAAAAAAGTGTTTTAAATTACAAGTTTAATTTTGTGCAAATTATTTATCTTGTTTGTCAAGATTCTGAGCACATATAGTTTGAATCACTCTCTTATCAGTAAAGTATATCAATTGAACATTTAATTAGTTTATATCAAACGAAATGAAAGTACATTTTGCCAATTAATGAAACGTCAATCTTTAGGATCTAATGGAAATTCAACTGATTTTGTGCAGTATTACAGCTTATGTCTCGTTTTCTTATTGTTTTATTGAACATTTTATAGGACCCAAAAGGAAACGATTCTTTTGTGACATGTCTTTCACATCAAATCGTTTGACTATAATTTTATTTGAGAATATTTGATGTCTTGTTTGCATTTCACGCGTTTTTTAGATTTTTATGAATATTTATTTAACAGAAATTAATTTAAATTTATTAATATTTGCGCAAAATTTTGATTAAATTTGGAAAGTTGTCGGCTTTTGTGTCAAATATATAATTTGTTTTATAAACTGCAAATTTTTTACTGGAAATAGTTTTTGTTAAATCTTGTGTAAGATTAAAGTCAGATAAGATACTAAACAATATTTCCATCACTTTTAACAGAATTTTCTTTTATCTTAAAAGAAACCACAGATTGAACTTAAGATTAATATAAATTTATGGTTTAAAACGTTTTTCAAATATATCATTTAATTTGTTAGTAAATATCATTTATAATTCATTTAATCATTATTTATAACACAAATAGCACTCATTTCAATAACAAATATGTTTATTGTTTCAAATGTAATATGTATTCAAAATTAACGAGTGTTTCGATAATAACTATTGTGTTGAGTCGTGAATCCCTTGGAGATGAAGAGTTTATTGAGATCTCTAAACATTGATGTACTGAATATGTAGTTATAATATTTACATTGCCGTCAATGCATTGTATCATTAATTTAACGGTCCATTGATTGTCAAGAGTCGACACCGGCTTTTGAAGAGATTAAACCCAATCCTTGTTTCAGTTGAGTAAATGTGTTTTGGTTTCTACTCTCGAAACATATCATATTTTTGTGACGTCCGGTCCTCTGAGATGTTACCAAACCGTAAACACGAGAAAAGATTTTAAACAATCATATTCTACAATATATTGTGTTTCACTCTTTTTTTTACTGTTATATAGAGTTCCTGAAAGCATATGATTTATATTAAAGTCACACAAAATATCCGTTTTGTGTGTGTTTTTAGCCAAAGAAAAGCATATAAATTGCCATAAAATATTGACTCTTTCGATGCACACAAAAAACATAACAAATATTAAAGTCTGTTATCTTTTGGCTTTTTTCAGGCGATATCTGGAAAACCGAAATCGACTTTCTATTGAATCGATTTGAAGACAAGAAGATACCGGCGCTTAGTTTTTTGAATACAATCTCCGATTCAGAGAGAAGTCAACTTAATTTAGAGACTTATTCTTTGAATCAATATTTGACATCAAAGCAGACATCAAATTACGGCAAACAAGCCTATGATGTCCGCATCGAAGAGAGCGGTATTCTGTCCACAGAGTTAATCAACTTCGGAGTCGCGCTCTTTGTGTTATCGGTTCGCTATCCCTCTGTCTTCTGGAAAGTTCACAAAGGATTTGGATTTCTTTTCTCAATACAAATCGTCATTAATTTGATTCAAAGTCTGTTAATGTATTCTGCATTTCAAGTGGCGCTCAAAGTATTAGTTTGTGATCCGTCTCTGGTTTTAGTTCGCTTCAAATCCACTTCAAATCTGACGGCTTTTAGACTCACTTTTCTATTCATTTTATACACAATTCTACTGACGATTTCAAGTTTCCCATTATATACGTACGGATTATACAAATACCGTGAATGGCGTTCGTCTCACTCCCGAAGAATGCATATTATTCTTATGAAACGACAGCAAAGATTTTGTGGATATTTGGCCCACTTTTGCGCATTCATTGCACTCATTGTATTAGGCGTTTGTTTGGCACCACTTCTCTATGAATTTGTACTCATATACTGTGGAAGTCTTGACTCTTCACTTCTCGTAACCATTATCTCCTCCGCCAGTCATTTGTTGCTTTGGATTATTCTTTGGCTAATCCTTACGATTAAAAGCAAATGGAATTTCAATATGACTTTCGATTACAACGACTGCGAAAATCGTTTCAATTTTGGCGATCATTTCGAGAGAAAGCCTTACGCGAGAGGAGAGACACCTCTTCTTGTGATAGAAAACGGAAAGACGTATCAAATTCGCGAAATGGCCTCAAAGGAAGCCATCCTCGGAATGGCTCACAAGTCGTGCTCCACTCAGAAGACGGTCTCTCCCGTCGACGATGAGGACATATATTGGCTCAAACCCAAGCCCTCCACTCCTCACAAAACACTGAGCAAACAGTCACCAGAGGATGAAAGGCTCATGACGTGGACGAAAGGGGATAAGAAATTCANTTATCTTGTTTGTTAAGATTCTGAGCACATATAGTTTGAATCACTCTCTTATCAGTAAAGTATATCAATTGAACATTTAATTAGTTTATATCAAACGAAATGAAAGTACATTTTGCCAATTAATGAAACGTCAATCTTTAGGATCTAATGGAAATTCAACTGATTTTGTGCAGTATTACAGCTTATGTCTCGTTTTCTTATTGTTTTATTGAACATTTTATAGGACCCAAAAGGAAACGATTCTTTTGTGACATGTCTTTCACATCAAATCGTTTGACTATAATTTTATTTGAGAATATTTGATGTCTTGTTTGCATTTCACGCGTTTTTTTAGATTTTTTATGAATATTTATTTAACAGAAATTAATTTAAATTTATTAATATTTGCGCAAAATTTTGATTAAATTTGGAAAGTTGTCGGCTTTTGTGTCAAATATATAATTTGTTTTATAAACTGCAGATTTTTTCTGGAAATAAGTTTCTGTAAGATTAAATTCAGATAAGAAACTAAACAATATTTCCATCACTTTTAACAGAATTTTCTTTTATCTTAAAGAAACCACAGATTGAACTTAAGATTAATATAAATTTATGGTTTAAAACGTTTCTCAAATATATCATCATTTAATTTGTTAGTAAATATCATTTATAATTCATTTAATCATTATTTATAACACAAATAACACTCATTTCAATAACAAATATGTTTATTGTTTCAAATGTAATATGTATTCAAAATTAACGAGTGTTTCGATAATAACTATTGTGTTGAGTCGTGAATCCCTTAGAGATGAAGAGTTTATTGAGATCTCTAAACATTGATGTACTGAATATGTAGTTATAATATTTACATTGCCGTCAATGCATTGTATCATTAATTTAACGGTCCATTGATTGTCAAGAGTCGACACCGGCTTTTGAAGAGATTAAACCCAATCCTTGTTTCAGTTGAGTAAATGTGTTTTGGTTTCTACTCTCGAAACATATCATATTTTTGTGACGTCCGGTCCTCTGAGATGTTACCAAACCGTAAACACGAGAAAAGATTTTAAACAATCATATTCTACAATATATTGTGTTTCACTCTTTTTTTTACTGTTATATAGAGTTCCTGAAAGCATATGATTTATATTAAAGTCACACAAAATATCCGTTTTGTGTGTGTTTTTAGCCAAAGAAAAGCATATAAATTGCCATAAAATATTGACTCTTTCGATGCACACAAAAAACATAACAAATATTAAAGTCTGTTATCTTTTGGCTTTTTTCAGGCGATATCTGGAAAACCGAAATCGACTTTCTATTGAATCGATTTGAAGACAAGAAGATACCGGCGCTTAGTTTTTTGAATACAATCTCCGATTCAGAGAGAAGTCAACTTAATTTAGAGACTTATTCTTTGAATCAATATTTGACATCAAAGCAGACATCAAATTACGGCAAACAAGCCTATGATGTCCGCATCGAAGAGAGCGGTATTCTGTCCACAGAGTTAATCAACTTCGGAGTCGCGCTCTTTGTGTTATCGGTTCGCTATCCCTCTGTCTTCTGGAAAGTTCACAAAGGATTTGGATTTCTTTTCTCAATACAAATCGTCATTAATTTGATTCAAAGTCTGTTAATGTATTCTGCATTTCAAGTGGCGCTCAAAGTATTAGTTTGTGATCCGTCTCTGGTTTTAGTTCGCTTCAAATCCACTTCAAATCTGACGGCTTTTAGACTCACTTTTCTATTCATTTTATACACAATTCTACTGACGATTTCAAGTTTCCCATTATATACGTACGGATTATACAAATACCGTGAATGGCGTTCGTCTCACTCCCGAAGAATGCATATTATTCTTATGAAACGACAGCAAAGATTTTGTGGATATTTGGCCCACTTTTGCGCATTCATTGCACTCATTGTATTAGGCGTTTGTTTGGCACCACTTCTCTATGAATTTGTACTCATATACTGTGGAAGTCTTGACTCTTCACTTCTCGTAACCATTATCTCCTCCGCCAGTCATTTGTTGCTTTGGATTATTCTTTGGCTAATCCTTACGATTAAAAGCAAATGGAATTTCAATATGACTTTCGATTACAACGACTGCGAAAATCGTTTCAATTTTGGCGATCATTTCGAGAGAAAGCCTTACGCGAGAGGAGAGACACCTCTTCTTGTGATAGAAAACGGAAAGACGTATCAAATTCGCGAAATGGCCTCAAAGGAAGCCATCCTCGGAATGGCTCACAAGTCGTGCTCCACTCAGAAGACGGTCTCTCCCGTCGACGATGAGGACATATATTGGCTCAAACCCAAGCCCTCCACTCCTCACAAAACACTGAGCAAACAGTCACCAGAGGATGAAAGGCTCATGACGTGGACGAAAGGGGATAAGAAATTCAATACCAATAAAAGCAATAGTAAAGTGTGTTTTGATGAGTCCGGGAACAGCACTACTGGAGGCAGAGGCAGAAAGAAATGTAATAAGAAATCACCAAAAAATACATTAAAACTCAAGAAAAGCAAGAATAACGACAACGGCATTGATTTGGATCACATGTCAGAGAATTCAGACGGAGATTACGCCACTCTTCGTAAGATCATAACTACTGAACTCGAAAACACAGACTTAACTCATTTGGTATGAATTGAAACATATTTTTCTGAACATTTTATAACATGTTTTATTTCTAAATATTTTTGTTCATTCCGTCAGAATATTTATAAAACACATTAATCGAGGTATCAATGCATTCAATCCGATTAAAATAGCACAGAATATTCCTATTTTAATATTTTTTGATCGATTAAACAAATTCAAATGCATTGTATTTTAGAGATTATATAAAATACTATACAAACAAATAGGAAAAGTAAATAATTTTACATTTTAGGCTAACTATAAAATCAATATATCTGCTAAAAAGTTGTATACACTAAATGTTTGCCAATTCATTATAGCATTATATTTAATGCAATTACAAATATTGAATTCTGGAGCCATTAGCTATTGCTATGATAATATATATAAGAAATTTGGATTAATTATAATTGAGTCTCAAATTAAAATTTTTAAAACTAAAACTCATTAATTAAAGAGCTTTTTATATATTCAAAGAGTGAATGGGAAATATTTCTAGTCTTTTAGTTGTAGTTTTAATTTACACTTTCGATCGTTAGGTTTTTCCTTTGGGTTCTT